AAAAAGCAATAAAACAATCTTTTCACAATTCACACTTTGGTAAACAAGATTAAATGGCAGGGAGGAAGCAAGCAAAACTGTCAGCATGCATAAGGCTGCAAAGGAGCAGGTAAATGTTTACTCCCTGCTGAAAGGAAAAGAAGAGAAACGACGTTTCGGCTGTTGAGCCTTCTTCGGGTGTGCGGTCTTTGAAAGACCACGAAGCAGATCCGAAGAAGGCTCCACAGCCGAAATGTTGTGTTTCTTTTCTTCTTTTTCCTGCATGGAATAAACCTTTGCCTGTTCCTCTGAGGCCAGATTATGTCAGCCACAACTGGAATTTGGCCTGAGTGCTAAGCATGGGGTTAACAGCCCTGCTCTTTAAATAGAGAATATTCCTAATATTTTCTTGTGGTTGTGCTTCCTTTTTTCAGCATTTTTCAGAGTACTTTCCACCAATAAAGAACAATGTTTAAAAAACATGGGAGAGCGAAGTGAAAGTGTCTCTCATATGGTCTCTGTGTACTTGTTTCTCCCTGCGCTGTGCCTGGCTGTCCTCTTTGAAGTCCCATTTTGGAAGAACTCGTGAGCTTGACGAATCATACAGTATCTGTGTGGTGAAAGAGCGCAGGAGCCCTCGAGCAGGATATGAAACAAGTGAAAAGGGAAACAGAAGTGGATGGCCACAGAACTGAAAGAGTCAGGGTTTTTTTTTGGTCACAACCATCATCACAGTATCTTCACTGTTGTTTAGTAACAGAATAAGGATCCAGAGCAGGACTTCAGGAGAAATGGTGGGCTTTAAGACTCTCTAGATAGGTGATTACTCTTCTGTTTGTGCCTGAAGGCCAGGGCTAGACCACAAAGATCACTAACACGCACTCACGTAAAGTTCATGACCTGGATATTTTCAGCTTTGGTTGCATGAAATTATATGAAAATTGTGATGTGGTTCTGTATACTTATGGCTGTCTGCACAGGAGTAAACACAGCCACCATTCTGTCCAAAGGGAGAACGTGCTTTGCTGATGTCTTTTATATCAACCCTTTTATTTAGATCAATTGAAGTTTAAACTGAAAGCGACAGTCCAATTCACTATAATGGGAACTATGTCCCTTGTTTACCACAAAACGCCACAAATACAGCGTGTAGTAAAGTCATGATGAGTGCAGTGGTAGGATGTGTTGTCCCCAAGTAGTTTTACCTCATATCTGAAACAGCCTAATGGCAAGCTGAAGAGAGAGTAACCCATTCCCTTTGTCACTTCAAGACACGATACATTCTGTAGTTAGTATTTTGAAACGGTTTGTGCTGCAATAGTTTCTATAGAAACAGTAATCCCTATTACAGTGTGGAGCAATTTTCACACTTGCTCCCATCCTGCCCACTGAGCAGAATTCAGAGCAGGGGCATTGAGCAGCACAATATCGTGGGCTAGTCTGCGATTTAGTGTTCTAGCCAGCAGACACATTGCTGATTTTTCCATGTTAATGTTGCCAAAATTGTTTTGTGTTTTAATCCTCTACAGGGGGTCTGCAGGGAAAAGTGCAATAACATAGTTATACCTTTTAATGATAATGCCATTGAATATTCCTGGGATACCCTGACAGCTGTGTTTTTTATTTCTTACCCAGTGCAAAATGGTGTCGATAAAACTTTGTCCTGCAGTAACAGCTGGTTCAGTATTTAATGACATAAAATTTATAATCCGGTTCCTTGGAGTCGTATCTGTCATGTTGTACGGAAGTGCAGGGTGTAGTTAATCAACCATCTGTACCTCTGTTTCATTTTGTTATTTTACGTCTGACCCTTTCTGTTCAGTGTGAATCTTCAGCTGATGTGGTTTTCTAAATTGTTAGTTGGTGCACTATATCTCATAGAGTAGTAAGGCCATAAGTAACTTTAGTAAAGAAACAGACATGACCCTGTAGCTTTCTTAAGACTATTCAGGTCCACAGCAAGGGGATATTCTTGTGACACAGTGGGCTTGATGAATGAGTGGACTATATGGATCTGGCGTTCAGGGGTGTCTAAGATGGTAGCTCAAATTTGAGGGTCCCTTGTTATCCTTAAATCAAGCCCTCCAAGGCTTTCAAAATGTCACATCTGCGGGGGACCTTGTGAGCCCATGCAGGCATTTTTAGATCATCTGCCCTTAGGCTTTAAGAAAGAGAGAGGAAGTAAGAGCACTAGAAGAAACTCCAAGCAGATTGCGCTGTGTGATACAGACTTTGCAAGCTGGGGAACTTCACTGGCCAGCTGTGACGACGGTTCCCCAAACAGCAGTGTGCAATGGGCTCAACTCATAGTGAAACAGGACTTCTGATTCATTCTGGACAACTGCAGGCTCTGGGTGACATCGGTGAGGACTGAATATCTTCTCCGGTTGACGTGGGATTTCCTCTGTATAACCTCATATGCTTCCTTGTTGTTGTCATAGGATGACCAGTTGGATGGGCGGTGGGTTGAGGGCCATTTCCTCAGTCGGGCCTTGTGTGAACAGGGGTCGTCACTGGGAATTGAGACTGAGATGTAATGACAAAACTGGCGACTGTCACTTGGGTGCGTGTGTCATTAAAAAGGTGTGCGTTCTTTCTCTTTTTCAATAAAGGAAATTCTGAGATTATTTATCAAAGAACAATAAACAAATTGCAAAATTGCAATGCAAACTAGAATATGGAATCTCTGCCAAAGCCGTAAGCCAAATATCCATCTGTTTGTCAGCTCACCTTGAAAAAATATTTTTATTCTGACCTGTAAACTAATTTTTCCATTATGACCCAAGAAAATAGCATTTTTTTCAACTGCAGGTACATTTTTATGGCAGACTTCTGATAAAAATGCTTATTTGTTTTGTAGGTTGAGTGAATCAGAGTTTCTATAGCAACCCTGTGATGATATCAGAAAAGTCCAATTGAGGCCTTAAATGGTTTTAAAGGCACAGTGAGGTTTCAGAATACGTTCCAGACTTTGTAACAAAGTACTCTTTATGTGTTTGTTCCTTAAAAAAATAATAAAACTCTTAGTTTTAGTTTTCTGTAGTTTCTCTTTAACTCTGTATTAAAATACAAGAGCCTCAATGTATTCTCAGTAAAGCAGACACTTTTCTTAACAAAAAGGCCCTTAAACATGCCCAAAATGCATTAATTGATATAAGATCGGGAATAGAATATTTGTTACATACAGTATAAATAGTGTTTATATTTGATTGAAATGCAAATTATAGTAAAAGATGTTTTTTTCCACCCAATCTGTTTTGATTACGATAACAAGCGTAATGATGTAAGACGTAACATTTCAGAATGTACTAGCCTGCTGTTGTTGACGGCAATGTTTTGGACTTCCGGCCCCTTTAGTCAGCAAACATCTGAAAAAGATGAGAAAAGGACAAAGAAACATGTGATAGGCAGTGGGGAAAGATGTAATAGCAACAGGGAATTTATAATAGAACCCTGTCAGATCTCTCTATTTCCATTGGATATATACATGGAATATATGCATATGGAACAGTTATCAACAGAAAGGCTAACCCCTTCTGGAAAAAAGGAACACTGAGAAAGAAGAGTTATGTCCCAGTGTCAACTGCAACACAGCTGCTAACTTCTCTTCCATGTGACTTACAGTAGGCATTCCACATCTCCCAGGGTGACAGTTTGCAGAAAGAGCCTTCTCTTCCTATGTTTCAACACCAAACTGCTAAACAACATGCTTATTCATTGCTGTTTCAACATCGTTAGAAGATACATCATTGCTATTAGGACACATCCTGAGCAACTGCAGTGTTTCTGTGCTTGTTAATGATTATTCTTCCCTTTCAAATAAATAATGACATTCACCTGGTGCGTCGTGATAAAAGCAGAGTGAAGTGTTGTGTGGCACAATGAAAACATGGTAAAAGTATGGTAAAGCAATGGTAAAATTCCAGCAAAGCAAGGGGTGTGCATGGGTCAGCCATCAGAAGATGTAGTGCAGATTTGCAGTGGTTAGTCTGCATAAGGAATGTATTGTCTGGTCTGCACACACTGCCCGGTGGTATCCTGCACTGTTAAATCAGCACAGCTAACAGCTGCAAAGAAAGAGTACAAACAATCGTTTGTGGCCATTGCAAAGCCGGGCTGATTTCTGCAAAACTACAGGATCTTGTCTTGCAAGACTGTTTTGCAATAATAGCGGAAAGAAGCCCGCTAAGCACTGACAAGGCAAAGAAAAGCTGGCTGCTCCTGTCAGTTCTAGTGTGCTAGGGTTCTGTAGTTTCCCATCTGCTGACAGCTGTCCAGCCCTTGACTGGAGTGTGCGAGGTGAGCCTCTCAGATCTGTGACCTCACAACGGGAGTGACAGTGGCCGCTTCTCAGGAGCCTTCACTGATCAGCACTGAGTGGCCTTATAATCACTCTCACATGCTGCGGTCAGTGCGCACTTAAACACTTTCAATTCTTCTTTCTTTCAAGATTGCATGGGCATTTTGCTTTCCACAATGTCTTATTTACTGGCCCTAATGATTGTTGTAATGATGTTTTCTTCCTTTTTTCTTGTGCAAAAAATAGAATTACGAAATGATTGGTTTTTTGTTCCCTATTAGGAAAATAGAGACTTACAATCGTAACTTCTTACCTTTTCTAACCTTTGGTCAAAATGCACAGAAAGACCTAGTTACTTTACACTGTTGCTGGCCTTCACATTGCAGGTGCTTCTGCGGTTGTATTTAATGCATATGAAGAACATGAATTATGCAATGTGTTGCCATAGGGGTTGCACACTGATTGTTAGTAGCTGTAGTGTACAACAGCTGGAACAGAGGGCCACCTTTTCATCTTCCCATCTGTTCACTGAATAAACGAACTGAAGGGAGACGTGCCCTGTCTCTACCAAGCTGGAAAAGCCAACAGCACAGGCCAGTGGTGGGCAATGCCTAATGATAAAGGGCACAGAATTATGAGTATCAGAATTAAAAAAGGATATACACACCTATGAGCACGCCTAACACATTTAAGTGCTGCTGCCTCACAGCTCTTGCATCCTGTTTTTTTATTCTGGCCTGGCACACCTTCTGTGGGGAGTCCGCGCGTTCCTCATGTGTGCTTAGGTGTCCGGTCTGAAAATATGCGTAAAGGAGAAACTTAGTCTTTAAACTTACAACCCGTGTACGGGCTGCCAGACGACAACCGCGCCTGCTTCTTCATGCTGTTTCTGCCGTAGTGCGAGCGTTACGTAAGCATTTGGTGGCAGCGCGGCGGAGACTGACGGGCGATGTCCTTGGCACACGGGGGCAGGCTAAGGCTCTCTGTACCTTTGCAGTTTTAATTTAGTACACGTGCTGCCGAAGCTCCAGTCCAAAGACACGCCGCCCGGGTCAGCTCCGGCTCCGGTACTGTCCCGTGCATGCCTGTGTGCTTGTACCCCCTGTGAGGGTCTGACCCTGCGCCCTGCAGGTTAGACTCCAGGGATAAATCGGTTTCCTGAGTGAAAACAGACAGTTAAACTGGCGTGAAAACATCTTAACCCTTAGATGGAGGGTTTATTTTCTTGTTGAGTTACGGGTGGTTAAATAAGTGGGCATCCGTGATTATTAGGTCCATAGATTCTCCACTAATTATACGCCATTAGCAAATGTATTATTAAGGGACGGAAACTGTAGACTTGGGAAGTATATTTCCCCACAATGCTGAAGTCGTCTTCTGCCTCCCTTACTCTTTTTGCAAAATCTGGGTGTCTGGGATCGTTAATTCCATGGTTCACCAACATCAGTGTGAGGTGGATGAACTCAATGCGGATCGCGTTAATGCCTCAGGGATGGCAAGTTGATGGAGGACTCCGGCGGAGCATGGGCGCACATTCACGGGCACACAGCTGCTTCAAAGCAGACGCTGTGACGTGGGGCAGCCAGCCACTGTATGACAATCTGCGGTCCATGCTTCAGCGGGCATACTTAGTGTCTCCTTAACCGTAATCAGAAATGTTTTAAAATCGATCCATTCTGGACCCTTTATGATGAAAAAAAACAACAGTTCTTTTTATTCTTTTATTTTCCTCCTGCAGTGTCAACCCCCGTACACGTCAAATCACCTCCCCACCCACACACACACACGGGCTCGCACAAAGTCACAGAAGGCCCAACACACTCGTGCAGACGCAAAAAAATCACTCTGAAACATATTTTTTTATTACTATTGCTATTAAGTCCTGTTAGTAAACACACACTGCTTGGGGGGCATGTATGATCCACAACCCCTACTAATTCCTGTAAATGCTGTATGCAATTTAACTGTTTTATATGTTATGATACCTTGATAATGTGTTATACATTATGTAATTGTGACCTACATATGATTTGATAATGTTATTGGCATTTAAATAATGTTCAAAGGGTGTTGATTGTAACAGTAGCATAGAGTCTAAGGAATTTATGTCTGATAAAGTACTGGTGCTTAAATTTTCGTTTACTCTTTTCAAAATGGGGCTTCTGGATCAGATTTAATGAACTCGAGACACCCTAGGAATTTCTCTAGGTGCATTATTCTATACGTAATACGGTCAGAGAAAACCCGGAACATTACGGTAACACGTTTTGCACTTGCTCTGCAAAACACACCAGCTGTCGCCTGCTGATGATGTAAATAAGACTAAAACATGTCGTGTGGAACAGCTGCCCGTGGGGGTTTAATTAATCAATAGCAAATACATTAAGGTAATACACGAAACTACAAGTTTCTTTTTCAGAATTAGATTTGTGCTTAATTTAACGTAGTCTAGCTTTGTATACCCGAGCGTCAGAAAACTTTTGTCAACGAACAGTTGAGGGTGCATGCTTGTTAAACTTCCAGATTTGTGCAAGATACACATTGATTACTGTTGACCAAAACGCTTCGAATATGGCAGCTCCTCAGACGGAAGTAACAAAAACAGAGTTTGGCGTTGTACCAGGGCAAGGAAGCGTGGATAAATTTCAATTAAAATCCCAGGACGTGACACTGGAAGTTATATCTCTGGGTTGCATTATTACATCTTTGAAGACGAAAAATAAAAGAGGGGAATTTGATGACATCGTTCTGGGTTTCGATAATCTGGAAGGTAGGTTCTGTTTCATGCATTTTTGTCATGCCAAGATCCACATCACTGTGCAATGAAAGTGATTGTTTTATGCAGAATGAGAATCATCCATCGTTAAAATCCGCTGACAAGTCTGGGGTGGACTGCCGGAGATTTTCATTGTGAAGTGTGCGATAACACGCTTCTAGCAGGCTTGTTCTTATTTGTATTTAAATACATTGTAAATTCTGCGAAAGCGTCTTTATTAGGTCAGTGAAAGCTGGTGTTACTGTATGTGTGCCGGTGTTGTACCTCAGGAGGAATCTTCACTTTAAAACACGATTGGTAGTGAGGTGTTGGGAGATGAAAGCCGTCCAGGCAGTTATTGGTCGTGCTTGGACACTATCTGGATCTCAGCTTTACCGCTCTAAACACTCCCTGAAATGTTTCTTTCTTGTAGGATACTTGTCCAATCCTGCGTGCTTTGGAGCTGTTGTGGGTCGGGTAGCCAATAGGATTGCCAAAGGAAAATTCACTGTTGATGGAAAGGATTATCAGCTGGCCATTAATAATGGGCCCAACTCTCTGCATGGAGGACTGAAAGGCTTCAACAAGGTAAAGCAGTCTAAAACATTTTATTGTGTTAGCCCTGCTTAAAGCACAGAAGGTTCAGATTTGACATGTGGACCTGACCAGCCTGTGTACAGACTGCTGTGGGATGTTCCGCCTCTCTTCCTCCTGATATCCTCACAGTTCTGTTCTCCCAGTCGGTTTGCGCAGAACTACAGTCAGCGTAACACTCTCCACGATGTCTTCATGCACTTCGCCTTCTGTAATCATGGTATTCACTGGCGGCCAAAACACTCTGCCCTCTGAAAATGAATAAGCAGATGGCTCAGAAGCGTGTCAAAGTCCTGAGCCAGGGGGGACTCCTATGAACTAACCTGTCTGCTCACTATTTCAATTGCGGTTGACATTATGTGCCCAGTGAGCCAATGATGGAAAACCACAGACTTCGGTATTCTAATTATGCATCAGTGTACTGGTGGGGTCAACAGCAGCTTGCATGTTCATTATTTGGGTGGTGTCAGAAAGTCCTGGACAGTCTTGTAGCTCCTGCCGGGATGGGTGAAACCCCTAGCAGAGGTTTGACTGGGAGCCTTTCAGAAGGATCAGTCAATGACGGCAGATGCAGACTGAACCGGGGTCACGATGGCTGATTAGCAAAGGAACAGCACCTGTCTGATACTCTGTCTCTTTTTCTGCGTTTGAGTTCCAAGAGAGTCGTGGTCGGAGGACATGTCCCTCCATGACAGCCGTGTTCCTTCGCAGGCTACCTACACGAGTTTTGTATGTGTCACGGAAAGAGGGAGTTAGGAGTAAGAGCAATTTTATGATGCTTCTTAACTTTTAAACTGAAACAAAAAAGAAAATCATGAAGGTAGAGATTGACAGAGATCTTCTATGATTCACAGAGGTCCGGGAGATCTATTGGGTTGCTTCGGTGGTTACTAATTCAATCCACCTCTCAGTTCGGTACTTGATCTGATTAAACCTGAGAGTGCCAGGGCATCTGAACCGTACGCTGCGTGTGGAAAGTTGTGAATTTACAGAAACGAGTCTCACTTGCGTTCTATTAAAGCTCGTCTTCACTTAGGGCTCATGCCTGCTATTAACGAAACTTTGACTCATGATGTGAATTTCGTTAAACGAGTCAGTGCTGTGAGTGTTTTCAGTGTCATTCTTGCTTCTGGGGGTGTGTACTGTCCTGCATTTGCAGGTTTGCTATGCCTTTCTTTTGTGTTATTCAAAAGTACAGTAACATGGAAGCAAATGTACCCGAAGAGAAGATGTTTGTGTGCCCCCTATCAGGATAGTACCTATGCCTCTAAATGGAGTGATGTGTTTTAATCCAGCCTGTGTCTCTGGTGGCTCTGAATTCACCTTTAACAAATGAGAAAATGGGGAGGGACAAAGGAAGAACAGGCAGATCAAACCCGGGATTATCTCCGCATGTGGGCCACAATTTGTCCAGGTTGACTAGAGGAAGCACTATTGGAATGGAGTCTCCCTGAATGAGTTTTGCTCGAGTGACGTAATCTTTGCTACTGTAGCTTTCGTCTCATCGGGAGAACCACACCAAGCCAAGTGCATCAAATACGGCTCTCGTAGGTTTTCAGCTCATATTTAAAATGCAGAGGAAGAATGTAAAACCCCCACCAAGATCCTTTGTATTTCATATGGAAGACTGTGGTCATTGCAGATGAAGGTCTGGATGTGCTTCGCCTTTTGCAGTTGTTTCCTTTAGGAGTTACTTGGGTGTTCCTTGTTAAAGAATCCTGTTCTTTCCTCGAAAAAGAGATGAGCTCATCCAGATCCAGCTGCACCTGTTTGTATAAAGTCCCCAGAATTAAAGCGCACACAACTCTTGGTTCATTGAAACGTTTTGTCATCATGTCAGTTGAAGGGGAAATGACCAAATTAGTTTTTTTAAGAAGATGGTTTCAAAACTTTCTAATAGAAGCTATTAGGAGTCGTCAGCTCCCTTGAATGCGGTTTACAAGCTTGGAAGGAACAAAGCCTTCCTGGTTTAGTGCAAGTCTCAAACCTACATCTCGTTTTTTTCTGAGCTGATGTGAAGTCATGCTGAATTGGTCCTGGCTTTGCGATTCCTCAGTCCTTCCTGCCTCTTGTCATCTCTCAATAGATCCTGCTGATCAATTCGTGCAGTTTTGTTTGTACTTTTGTTCTGCCGTAACTCATTACAATTTAGCTTTGGGACCTTGATGTTCTCTTGAAAATAATTATGTTGAAATCAATTGAAAGCCCAATAAAGTGTTCTAATGGATCTGCAAATAGCACCCTTCAGTATATCAACTAAAGCATGGATTGAAGTCCATAAAGGCCTCAGCCATGACTGGTGAATAAATAACTTGATTTGACAAGCACCTTCAATGGGCCAGCCTACTGCTGTCTTCCACATCTGGTACTTATGTGTACGCTGTCTGTGCTTTCTCACAGTCAATATCCCAAAGAGAATGTTTTATGAAACATTTATTTTTTTATTTTTTCTATTTTCAGCATGAAACATATTCCATTTGACTCTTCCCTACTGCACACTGATTCAGCTCCACACTGTGTAACCTTCCTTTGTATGTTGTCCTAAGGTTTTCTTTGAGAGCATAGTCCTATGTCTGAAATCTCTGCACATAAACGTGTAAGAGACCAGCCTTTTCACATGCAGCTGCCTGACTCGTGTAGTTTAGGAAGGGAAGTCCAGACAGAAAAAAATTCTGACAGACATTCAGAGAAGAGCAGTTAGGGCCTTCAGTCGAACTAAAACTTTTCTATTCATAAACACATCTAAGTGTTTTTAGCCTGAGATGAAGGTGGTTAGGAGGTTTATTATTGTGTTTCAAAGTCCTGAAAGAGTTTTTTTTATTCCAGTTTGAGATGCAGTCCTCGCATTCAGATTAGTTCATGGGGATTTAAATAACATAGCAAAAGTAGAGTCAGAATTGGTACAAGGAAGCATTCAGAAAATTGAAGCAATTTGTCTTTAAAATACACTGGTTCAAACAAACCTTTTACCCAAACAGCCACTGACGCCATAGCACAGCACCGTGACAATCCAGTTGTCATTACTTGACATTACCCTCTTAGCCACTACATGCTTTCTGAGGGCCAGGAGCCCTGTTCACATCAACAACTTGTGAGTCATTGCTGCTTTTCAAGGCAAATGCTGTTTAACTGTTGTTGCTGATGCTGAACGTCCGCCAGACATATGACTTGCTTTAGTCACAGCTGGGAGCCTTCCGTCATTGCTTCACATTAACACAGGTTTTTCTAAGATCAGAAACGGGAAGTTGTTCATTTTCTGTGGTCTTGGTGAACCATTTTGCCTCTGCGTTGATGACACTGTCAAAAACTGTGCGAGTCCCCAAATGTAATACATGCTCAGTGTATCTGGCAATAATGGCTAGTACATTTTCCTACAGATCTTAAATTATATAAGCAATACGTACGGAGGATATTGTAAGTGGTCTTCAAATATATCATATTACATTTCACGCCATTTGTCTAACCACATTTTTTTTTTCTTATTTAGTCTGTGGTAACTCTGGTAACACCCTTTCTGTTTAGGTATGTATAAGATTTGCAATGCCATGGTGTTCATTGGTATAATATTGTACCACATGATCTTGTACAGTATAGAGAAGCCAAACACAACAACAGCCCAGATTTGTGCTCCCTGTCATCTAATTGTGCCTCTATCTAGTGAAGACGTATTTTTTCAGGTTTGAAAATTCGGTTCTGCGGTCTACGCCAGAGATTGTTGGATCAGATTTTCTTTTTTTTCCCCCCACATGGTGATGTGCTGGGAACCTCAGAACCTATTCTAGCGCAGGGCTAAAAATAATCTCTCATTCCCGTCTCGTCGCCAATCATTCCTGTTGCAGAAGGGTATTCTGGGTCCTTTTCAGTGGGTGTGGTGGGGGGGTTCCCACAGTTCTCCTCCACATCCTAGATCAGTGCTAATCCCAATCCTGGTCCTGGTTTTTGTTGCAGCCGAGCTCACCTTCCTGTCATAATGAACAGTGTTCATCTGAGCTGTTTTGTTTCCCAGCTCTTTAACACGTTGGGGCTTTAACAGTTGTGCACTGTAAGTGAAACAAATTCCCAAACGTGTGCCTAGAAACATCACGCAAATGTTCCAGTGATGCAACTTCTTAGCTCAAGTAAGGCTTCTGTTATCTAAGGAAGTTGGGCAGGAAGGAAACCCGGCAGGGTCACCTGGACTGGGATGGGGAACTACCTTCCTAGCTGATGATGACGATGCACCCACTGGGATGTGTGCTTGAGTAAAATCTGCTGACTCAGTCCTGCTTGTGCCCCATGCTGTAACCTGTGGGAAGGTTCTCACAGTGTGCTCTTTGGGCTCTTTGTAGTTTATGAACCCATGTAAATGGGGTTTATCTTAGTGGGCATCGATTATGAGTAAATATACAGAGTGTTTTAAAAAGAAGGATTGGGTGTGGTGTTTCTATGTCAGTTTCCAGTTTCTAATCCAGTGGAGAGAATTATCTACAGTAACTAGCAAAGGCAGCAATCAGGTTTGCTTCCTTATTGCTTTTTTCACACAACGAACATTGACCTTTCTCAGGCTGCTGTAAAAAGAACTATGAAAATGGTTTGACACGGATGAGACAGATAAGGTGCAAGCCAGTTTGATTGTGTGCGTGCCCACAAGATTTGGGAGGACCAAATCTGCGGAAATACCCTAACAAATAGTGGGACTCCTGAGAAGCCTCTACGGCTTTAACTTTGGCAAGTTTTGTACTTTGTTTCAATTCATTTTTTCACCAGAATTCTTTGACCTTTTGAATTTCACACATTTGTCATATCATGATGTCTCCTAGTTAAGCAATTAAATCCATTCCTCTTAATGCGGATGTTGGCTTTGCATAGTATAGAGTGAATTCTCCTCAACACTGTGACCTGCAGGCGAATGTGTCCTGTATGTAAACCAAGTTCTTATATTTTCATTTGCCCTCCTCAGATAGGTAGTAGTTCAGAAAATGACATTTTATCATCAAGCAGTTGAACTTAAGTTTCGAAATTAGAATTGGGAGAGGTATGCAGTTGTGCCTAGTTGTCTCAGAACTAAAAGCACCAGCTGTAGGCGTTTGTCTACACTGTGTTTCAGGCCAGTTATCCTTGTTTTTGTAGGCACTGGAACTTCTCTTTGTCTGTTCCTTTGAGCAGTTGGCAGGATTGGATATTTTGGCACCTGTAACACTATCTCCTACAATAGGATTAGTTCTGCAAGTAGGAGTTATAACTTTAGGCTACCACAACCTCTTTAGGGACAGCTGGTTGCTATAAGGTGGAAAATGTTTGCATTCATGCTTGGAGAATATTTTTTTTGTTCCAATGCAGCTGCTCTCTAGGCAGTCTGAAACCTGTCCGTCTCTGTAGATTCTGATTGATTTTATTCCTGGCGAACAAAGCCAGAACGTCAGCACTGGAGGCATCTGAAAGTGTTGTTTTTTGTAGTTGAAGCAGATGTTTCACTCACCAGTTCCATATGGCCTTGTCAGGTAGGAGCAGGATTAACACCTGAAACCGAGAGACGGACCCAGAATTATTTCCTTCTCGGCATCTCATTTGTTTGTGTTTTTTTTTAGGCAGCAGAGGGTCAATTTTAACAGCTTTGACCTTGAGTAGTTTGCATATTTTTAAATATTTTACTGAATGACAGTAGTTCATGCCACCTTTTGTCTCCTGGTTTCACAGGCCTCTCTTGTTATTTTCTTTTTGTGCCTTTCTGACTGGTTCTCTCCTAACGGTGCCCTTTAGACGTTTATTCACCATTCTAACTGTACTTGTATACTGTTCGTTTTGTCTTAATATTTCACTTACCATTCCAAAGGCTTTTGAGGCCAGTTGTTTGTGTCTGTGGGCTCCTGTCAGCATTCCTCCGCATGGCTCCCAATGGATCACTTCTTTGCAGGCCATCTGGACTTCCGAAGTCCTTCTGAGCGGCGTGCGGTTCTGCCTGACCAGTCCAGATGGCGATGAGGGCTACCCTGGGGAGCTGAGAGCTTCAGTGACCTATGTCCTGGAAGGGGAAGTGCTGTCCATTCATTACAAGGCGGAGACCAGCAAGACCACCCCCGTCAACCTGACCAACCATTCCTACTTTAACCTGGCAGGCCACGTAAGAGGTTTAATATTTACTTTTTTTTTTTGCATTGTGACACAGCGAATAAATGGAGCACAACTCCAGTCCCTGGGGGCCAAAGTGTCGGTGGTTTTATTTCAAATTTGATCTTAACAACCTCATTGAGCTGATCCTGAGGTTAATTGGACCGATTTAACACTTTTTCTTTGGTCTTGGGATGCTGAGGATTTATAGATCCCTGGAAAAGCGCCAGTGTTCTAACCCGAGAGGCCCAGGGACTGGAGCTGTGCACCTGCACTGTGAGCCAGGACTGTGTAAAGCACAGTTCCGTGTCATTTTGAAATACGTTTGTTATAGGTTGTCATCCAGGGAACAAACAGACAGACAGACGCAGTGTTCTCTGATTCCTCAGCTCTGAAATACAAACACTTCCAAGGGCATTTTAGAAACCAGGCACAGCCCCTGTCAGCATCTTTTGTTACTGGAAGTGTTGCATTTAAGACAAGGACTGAACGTTTCTTTGAATGCAGAATGTAAAAGGTCATACATGGTATAAGAATATTTTAAACGTCAACACAAGATGTAAATGTAATATCCACTCTTCTAGTGGGCTAAGTAAGAATTTCACTGTCAGGTGTCCTCTTTTTTTTAACAAGGGGACAGCTATGTTCAGATGTCCAGCCCTGATCTTGGAACACCAGTATGCCTGCAGGTTTTCATTGTATCTTTGTCCTTAATTGGTCATTATTGGTTTAATTGATCAATTTAACAGCTTCTTCTATTGCATCCAGTGCAGATTTCTTTAAAGAGACTGAGAAAACTTGCAGACACACTGGCCCCCCAGAACAGGCGTTAGATACCCCTGTTTGTTGGTCATCCATGCACAGTCACTATTTCATCTGTGTTTATTAATCACTTTCATTTTTTTTCTTACCTCCATATTAACCTCAACTGTCCTTTCTATTTAGACGTTGTTTCTGGGGAAAAACTGTGTTTTTGTGAACAGCAGTGTCAATTAGAAATAATTTTCATAAAGCAGCATTACTGCCGGGTTTCCTGAAACTGAAGTGAGTAAATACTGAAGCAGCCGAATTCTTAGTCCTCCGCACAGTAACAAAAAATCAGTTCTCGTGTTGTTCCAGGGCACGCCCGATATCTACGACCACGAAGTCTCCATCACAGCAGACGCCTACCTGCCTGTGGATGACACAATGATCCCCACAGGTGGGTGAACATTTGCATGACTAAAAAACGTTTTTTGCCTCCATAAAAATACATACTGAAATGATCTGTCTGGGATTTTCCAGAATTGCAGTTACTATGATTATTTTTTTCAGTTGTATTGTTGTTTTCACGTGTGATGGAACAGAACTATAAACTGTTAACTCCCAGAAGGTTTAGATTCTCTACCTTTCCCTACTGTTAATTCCCCCTTTAAGGCAACATCACAGTTCTGGAGGCCTATTACAGCCTGATATGAGCCTCCGAGCATTGAGATTCCTCTTTTGATATTCAACTGCAGTGTTGCCGGTTGCTGAAGTGTTCATCTTGGACTGCAAAAAATAACATTTGCAAAATATGTTGACGATGTGCTAATTAAACTATCATTTCAGACAATTTAGTTAAGCTGAAATAAAATTCTGATTTCTCATGTTCTGTAGAAACACTTACAATATTCCAACAGCGATATGGGGAACAGAGAGGTGGATTTCTGTAGCTTTACAAGAGAATCATTTTCTGCTGTTTCAAGCAGTGTGTAAAAAGGCCCCGAGTCTGATCGGAGTATCATGTCACTATCATTGATGGGTCTTTAAATGTACTTTATACTTTGAAGTTTCTGGATAAACATTTCAGCATGGACTAATTTTAAATGTTTGTTTTGTCAAGCAGTCAAGAGCAAATCAAATGTCAGTTTTTTTTAATAAACATGGAAAATAGTCTATGTAGCATTTGGTTTCAACCACACAGAAGTGAGATTAAAAGCGATAAGACTCATGTCACTTCTGAATTGTGCCATGGTATGAAAAATTGACCACAGTAGAGTGTATTAAATTACACTGTTTTTTTCAAATGGTTTTCTCACAGGTTAGTTGCATTGAGTTTCCTTGTAAGATCATGCTCGTGATTTGGTGAGAAGTCGCTGTGGCACCAGGAAGGACCATTTTTAAAATGTAATAACTATCA